ATTTCTTTCCTGAGTGCTGAGAGTACAGGCATGTTACCACCATGCCTGGTTTTATTTCCACGCTGGGGATGAACTCAGGATCTTGTACACTACAAGCAAGCATTCTATCAACTGAGTTACGTCCTCAGCCCTGGTATTTCTTATAGGTACCTCAAAATTGTAAGTGTCTAGACGAGTGGCCACTGATTATCAGGCCCTCACATTAACCTTCGCTAGCTTGGTTTTCTGCTCTGTCTGCCCATTTCTACACTAGTCCAGCCTTCTCCTGCTTGTTCCTCTGGGTTATTCCTTCTCGTTCATGTCCTTCCCAACATGGGTCCAACTGCAGACTCCCACTCCTCTTTCATGTCTCTGCCCCAGGGTTTCCAAGAGAAGCTCTCCATGTCCTGTCACACTGAGGCTTACACTTGTGCCTCCATTCCCCCGGCACGAGGACTGATTACAGGCTTGCCCTGCCTCTCCCAGCTTCTATGCGGGTACTGGTCCTGAACTCCAGTTCTCATGGTTATGTGGCAAACACTTTATTGACTGAGCCATCTCCTTCACTACCACCCCTCCTGAGGAAAAAAAATCAAATTGTGTGTGTGTATGTGATTATATGCAAGTGAGCACTGGTACTTTCAGGAGCCAGAAGCAAAGGCCCCCTCGGAGCAGGCAGGACAAAAGGTGGTGTGACATGAACTGCAAAGAGCAGTATGTGCCCTTAATCACTGAGCCAGCTCTCCAGTCCCCACCACCTCTTACGTTTTGAGAAGGGTTTTACTCTGTGCCTGAATGACCTTGAGCTCCATGGCAGCCCTCCTCCATGCTGAGGTTACAGGGATAAGCCACTATCCTGGTTCTTCCCAGCTCTTGGTGACACCAGGTAATCCTCTTTTGTGTGTCTTCATCCGAGTGTCTGTCTCCACCTTCACATGCATGGCCCTCACGTGTCATCCTTCTTGTGGGGTTTAGGGCCAATTAGATATTAAGGATATCTCGCTGTGAGATACTTAATTTAAGGTCTGCTAAGACCTTTAAATTTTTTTTATGTGCATTAATATTTTGCCTGCATGTGTGTCTGTGAGATTGTCAGATCTGGAGTTACAGACAGTTGTGAGCTGCCATGTAGGTGCTGGGATTTGAACCTGGGTTCATCTGGAAGATGCAGTCAGTGTCCCTTAACCACCAAACCATCTCTCCAGCCCCGACTTTTTTTTTTTTTTAAGACAGGGTTTTTCAGGGGCTAGAGAAATGGCTCAGAGGTTAAGAGTTCTGGCTGCCCTTCCAGAGGTCCTGAGTTTAATTCCTACAACCACATGGTGGTTCATAACAATCTATAGTGAGATCTGGTGCCCTCTTCTGGCCTGCAGGTGTACATGCAGACAGAATGCTGGATATATAATAAATAAATCTTTTAAAAAGAGACAGGGCTTCTCTGTGTAGCCTTGGCTGTCCTCAAACTCAGAGATCAGTCTCCCTCTACCTCCCAAGTGGTGGGATTAAAGGTGTGCACCACCTTTGCTCTCTCTCTCTCTCTCTCTCTCTCTCTCTCTCTCTCTTTCTTTCTTTCTCTCTCTCTTAACAAAACAGGTCACAGTTACAGGTTCTAGGCTTGACGTGGACATTTTCTCTCAGGTCCTAACTTAATCCATCAGATCTGTAAATCTAAGTTCCACTGTCTTCTTTGGTTCCACTTGTCTCCCCCGCAGTAAAGAAGAAGGGGATTCGACCTTCCTTCGTCATATGTGTCCTCAAGATTTAAGATTTTAGGGCCTCCCCAGGAGCCCCTTTGTGATGATCTAATACAGCTGTTTGACTCCTGAGCACTTGCCTAGAGAAGTTACCCCTCAACCTCTACAGGCTGGGGTTCCCTGGGCTCCAGGCACCTTCTTGATCTGGGATCCTTCTTGACTGCTGGACCTCAGCTGTTGTCTGCCGATCACTCTTGGCCTTTGAGCCTGCCTTGTGGAGATAGGCCTGCCCTCTCCTACCTGCTCTGCTTTACCACTGCAAGCTAGCCAGCTCCTCACCTTCCCTCTCATGATCGGCTAGGTTGGAAAGCGGCCCTGGGTACTTGGTTCTTACTGGGAGGAAAGGTGTTGGTGTGAGAGGAAGGTGACCCTCAAAGGACATGTAACAATGTTTGGAGGCACTTTCTATTGTTATAACCCAAGGGGCATAAGTGGGTTTGTACTACTACCTAGTATAGAAAGACTAGGAATGCTACTAAACAATCTCAATGAACAGGATAACCATGTGATAAAGGAGTCCCTTGCTGAAAATAGCAACAGTGTGGTGGCCCAGTGGCCTTGCTCTACCTCTGTGCCTATCCTAAGCTTCAAGATAGAGGCCCAATTCTCAAATAAAGTAAAACAAAATCAGATAAACAAACAAATAAAAAAACCATCATCTCCCCTCAGACTCTGCTTCTACATGGGTACCAGTTCCAATGACGTTCTCCCAGGAAGCTGCCCTTCCAGGCATCCTGGACAGCCTGGAAGAGTCTTCTGGTGGTGTGATGGTGATGGGGAGGCACAAAGGGCCTTAAAGGCAAGCCTGCTTGCTCATAACTCCCTCCTAGGGAGCTCAGTCAGCAGCTCTCAGTGGCAGCGGGGGTGGAGTGAGAGGTGGGAGTTAAGGTCTCTTAGGGAGTCTTGGCAAAGGTCCTTATCATCTGTCCATCAAACAGGACAGAGAGGTTCCAGTTTGAGTTTCGAGGTGAGGGGAGTGTCCTAGCTAGCCAGACACCAGTGTTCCCTTGCTGTCTGAGTCCATTCTTGTCTCTGCTGTGAAAGCTCTTGGGAAGCAGAAGCCCTTCCAGTTTGTTCACCTGTGTCCCTGGTACCTCAACATAATTACTCTCTGTTGCAAAACAATGCCGTTCTGTTGACAGTGAATGAAGAGTCTGCCTTCTTTAGAGAACAGGTGGATTTGCAGCTGGCAAGGAGAAGGGCTGGGGATGTGACTCCGTTGGTAATGTACGTGCTTAGCACACATAGACTGCCTCTGATTCCAAGCACGACATAAACCCTTGCTGCCACAGGCCTGCGATCTCAGTGCTGAGAAGGTAGAAGGGAGAGGGCTGAGGTTCAAGAGCCCCCTCTGCTACACACAGAGCTTGAGGCCAGCCAGGGAGACAGGATCTTAGAAATGGACCTGTGGTCTCCTTTTGTATTGTTTTGACAAGGTCTTTGCTCTGTTGTCCATTTTGTCCATGATGATATCGATGGCCTTGAATTTGTGATCCTTCTGCCTTGATCTACTGAATAGCTGGGACTTCAGATAGACACTATGCCCTGGTTTTTGTTTCTTCCCTCAAGCTGAAGATAAAAGGCACCCTGCCCACAGAGCTGCACTCCAACCCCATCTGTAATCCCTTCTAAGGAAAGTTTGCGTGGATTGAAGAGCAAAAAAAGATGAGGCCACTGTGAACTTTGCCAAGTGGATGTGGAGGAGGCTCCCCTACAGCATGGAAAGAAGAGTCGGCAAGGTTAAAAGAAAGGACTTGGAGCAAGAACTCATGCAGCTGGTGGTTGGCCCAAGATGGAGCATATATTCCCATCTGTGGGCCCTCTTACACACAGACAGACATACAGACACACATGTGGCCCATTCAGTGGCCATGTGGGAGCCACCATTGAGGATGGGGCCATTTCACACAGGAGCAGGACAAGAGGGCCTAGGGTGTGTCTCTTTTCATACACAAGATGCCCCCAGGTAACAGCCAAACAAGAACAGTAGGTTGTATAAGGACAGTTGTGTTGCTGCTGGGGGCCCTGTGTGAGATACTTAGGAAATAAAGAAACTGGCAAGAGTCCTCAGTCCAACCCAAGTACACGTCTGAAGTACCACGAGCGCCCACTAGAGGCCTTGCTTGTTGGAGGAGGAAAAGTTTTGCAGGCTAAAGCACTGACTAAAGCAAGGGACCTCACAAGGCAATTGGGGTATCAGCCAGTTCCTCACGGCCCATTTTCCAAAGAGAGGCTGGGTCACCTCAGAAACTGATTGCGCTGTAACAGGTTATGCATGCTGTGAGGGACACCTAGAAGGGAGCTTGTGGGTGGACAGGTAGCCCTGCATCCTTAAGATCTGAGGATTAGGGAAATGACCAGGGTGGAGACGATGACATTATTAACCCCCGCTACTGACCCTTACAACCAGCCAGCCTTGGGTTAGGGGCTTCCCTGCATTCAGTTCTCATTCTTCTCTCCCTCGGGCAGAGAAGACTGATACACATTGCAATTTATATTCAGTCAAATTAAACGGAGTAACACATCCAGTCCCTTCTTCCTAGTGTCTAGGGCAGCTATACAACATCTCTGTACTACAGGAAGTTCCTGGCAGGTCTCACAGATTCACACAAGATCACATTTCCCATAGGGACGATCAGAATCCAGATGAAAGTAGATACAACCTAATGGGGGCTGCCAACTTAATATGGCAATCAGGAGTCCCAGGCTTTTCACCTGGCTACTGATGTCCAAAGCCATCTCAGGATTTTTTTTTTCTTCAGCGTTTAGCCTAAGGGCCTGGAGAGATGTCTCCACTCCACTTGGATGCATACCATTCAGGCTTATAGCGGCTGGAAATGAATACAGCTTGATTCATTTTGAACTGGTAGAGTTCAAGACAAAGCAGACAAGAGCTTAGGCTCTGGGTGGCTTCTTCCTTTGCAGACTGTAGCATCCATTCGCGCCTCCTCCAGTCATTCATTCTACAAACACACATTGAACACCAGCTAGTGTTAGGTTTCCAGAAACCGTATCTTTTGCCTCCTGGGGTTGCTAGAAGAGGCTTGAAGCTCCTTAAAGAAAAGACGGAGCTGTTCGTTATCTGTAACTAAAAGGAGCCCTCGAGATCCATTCCGTGCCAAGAAGAGCCTTCTAAAGAGGATGGTGCCTATCAGATGGCCTCAGGCCAGGGCTCTTCAGCTGGCAGGAACAGGTCCCAGGTCAGAGATGGGCGGACCGGGGCGGGGCGCTCGCCCGGTACCTGAGGTGGCCACCAGAGGGCAGCCAGGGAGCGCGCCCGGCCGGGGCGAAGCCCCAGGTAAGTGTAGCTAAAGTGGGGCCACCCCCATTTCTGGGGCCCAGTCTCTCGGGACCCGGGTGTGTGTGTTTGGCTTCAAGATGTGGGCCAAAGCGCGTGCACGCGATGGTCGATGAGCTAGAGCTCAGATCCTGAAGATGTTGGAACTTGGGGTGGGGACGGTTCCTGAGCACCGTTGGGGCGCCTGCAGGGCCTGGCGCCCAGCTGCCCTCCTGGGTTTGCCCGCCGTCTCTCTCCCTCGGTTGCTGGAGACTCTGATCTGCTCGAGATCTGTCCCGGGACAGCGCTGCGGTCCGCTCCGCCGGCGCGCTCGTACTCCTAGGGTTTAGCTCACAGCTCGGAGCGGAGGGTGTACCTCCCGCAGCCCCGGGTGTGTCCCCGGCGCGGAGCGGCGCCGGGCGCGGGCGGCCGGTGGGGGAGGGGCGCGGGAGGTGCGGACGGCAGGCGGCGCTGGGGTGAGCGCTCCCGCGACTGAGTCAACAAGTGCGGAGCCCAGCGAGCGCGCGCGGGCGGCGGGAGGGGCCTGCAGGTGGTGACCCGCGTCGCGATCTCTCAGTGCCCGGCCGGGGTGGGGTGGGTGGGATCCAATGTTTTCGGTGACTGGCGTTTGTGTGGGGTGTCCTCGGCCCTGGACAAGGCCAAGGGCCTTTGGCTGGTCTCAAACGGGCTGGCTGGCGTTCAGGAGTGGGAACCCGAAAGCACGTGGAGCCTTTGAGTGTGCAGGGTGGAGGGTGTCCTCCGTGCCAGCGGGTTCTGCCCCTGGAACCCCCTTCCCTGCTGTCAGACAGGTTTGGGGGAGTGTTTCAATCCACGCGGGGCGCCACCGGGAGCTCAGAATGGCGACCCTCCCTGCCCGCTCCCAGGGGTTTCAGGCCGTCTGCGAACTCTGAGGTGGACTAGGGCAGAGCGACTCGACTTTCCACCCGTGTGTCTGATACATCTTTAGCGGTCCCCCTGGTGAAAGGTGGGATGCTGAAACTGGAAACCCGATCTCAGTGAGATCCAAGTGAAAAGTCGCTGTCAGTCGGTTTGTGCAGCGGGGAAGCTTTGATCCTCGCGACAGCAGAGGGCAGGGGAGGGAAAGAAGTGTCCCAGAGCAAGGGGAAAGCCTCTAGGAGAAGCCACCCCTTATAGTTCAGGCTCTGTCTCGCCCCCACCCGGAGAGATTGCGCCTTCCATCGCTGCCTCTTGACAGCCGCTTAGCTCCCAACTGAAAAAAGCAGAACCGTGAGGTGAGCTTTGCTCTCACTGTCACATTTTCCACAAGTGCTCAGCACCTGCTGCTGTCCTCCTCCCTAACCCTGCAGCCCAGATTGCTGTCCTGCCACTTAGCAGAAGTGCAAACTGGCCTTCCGGAGAGCCTCCCTCCCTCCCGTCCCCACTCCCTACCCACCGCCGGGGGCCGCGCGGGGGGGCTGTGGAAGACTGGGGGGGGGCATCTGTTTTGCAGCCTTCCCTACCGGTAGTCTTATTTCTGGGCAGGCTTCCCTTCCCTTTTGTTCCCCAGTTGTTTCATTCTCAGCCCTCTTGTTTGTGCTTTCCAGGCTCAGTTCATGGTTTCTCACGCAGTGGCCTTGGAGAGGCTTTCGGGTCACACTACCTTGTGCCTAGTCCTGTCCAGGCTTTCTTGGGGTGCCCCACGGTCTCTCAAGAATAGTCTGAGTCTGGATGGGTGTCTCAGACAGGAGCCTTTCTTATTCTACCAGACTACATTTGCCTCTGAGGGGTCCAGCCTCTCTCCCTCTGGGACAGGCTGGCCCTGACCTAGAACAGTGTAGGCTAGAATACTGACTTCTGCTGCCAGCCTGCACGGCAAACAATCGGACATGTTACCTCTAGAAGGGGCGGCTTTTGACCCTGTCATTGACCTCTAAGAAATCCTCAGTCTCTGGTTTTCCTCAGGCCTTTTGGGGCCCACTCCTTTGCTGGGTTCTCGGGCTTTCAGTCCTGGGCTTTGTTCACATTGGTTTCCAATCCTGAATCTTCTCTCTTCCCCTTCACAGTCAGTCACCCTTGTCCCTCCCTGTACTACTTAGCTCAGGTGCTCTTGCCTGAGAAAGCTTGATCCCCCTGTCTGGAATCCCACTGATCCAGGATCCCTTTCCTAACTCTGCATCCTTAACCACAGCTGTCATGCCATTTCCGTTTCAGCCTCTCCGGTTTTCCCCTGAATCCTTAGCACTGTAAGTCCTGTAGGTGTTCAGTGAAGTGCCCCCAAATTTCTGAGAACTTTCCACCCCACGCCTGGAGCCCTGCTCAAACTAAATCTCCCTCAGAGAGCTGCTGATTCTTTCAGATTCTTGGCCTTCTGCTCCTCTAGGCTCCTGAGCCATTAGGTTGTGTTCTATGCAGTTTAAATACATTCTCTGCTGTTGGCTTCTCAACCAAGAGTGGACATTCTGTGTTCTAAGCTGGCCGCTGTACCAAGGGGTCCAGGCCTTTATTGGTTTTTATGTTCTTGAAGCACTCAGAGAGGTGGATACCAAGATTATTGTCTCCATTCTGCCTATCAGGAAGCAGTCTCAGAGAGGGCCAGGGACCTGTCTGACTCACACAGCTCATATGCGGGTGGGCAGAGCTGAGGTGGAATTCAATCCTGCAGGCTCCAAGCTGTCTTTAGATACAAGGATTTGTTGTTTGCCCTGAAGGTGTATATGTTCTACATCTCCAGAGTCCCCTCAGTATCTGGCCCTGGTGTGCAGGGCATACTGGTGTCTTGGGACTCTTCTGGACTGTAGGAAAGGACTAGATAACAGACAGCTAGGTAATGGTATCCTTGACTCCAGCGGTTGTGACATCAGTCAGGGAGGCCCTGGAAACATGCCGTTCTTGATCTGGCTTTAGAGCTGTGGGGCAGAGAGTTCTGTTGGGGTGTGGGGGGTGGAGTAGGGGGTCCTCAGGTCTGACCTTCCAGAGTTCCCTAAGTGCCCATCCCCTAAGGACACTTGGGGTTCCCTTTTTGAACCTCCAACTAAGTTTCTTTAGGAGGCCCCCTTCCCTTCTCTTGGAGGCCACTGTCATAGGAAAATGAGCTCTTGCTGTGAAATCCTGTTACCATAGCAACCAGTAGTGTGAGGCCCAAGTCTCCTGCTCCTAGGTCTCCACACTATGTGCTTGGAGGGGCTTTTTCTGTGTTTGCTGCCTGAAGAAATTAAATATTCCGCTCCGCTTTCCTTTTGTGTAGATATTAAATTCTTTTGTTTCTTCAAACCAGTGACTTCTGGGTACTGTTTGTGTCCCAGCAGGTTATAGCCAGGCAGCTGGCACACCATTAGGGATGACCCCAGGGTGATGACCCTGGTTTAGGTCACATTTATGAGTGATACCCAGTTCTCTATGGGTAAAAGCTATGCTGTCTTGGATGCTGGTCAGGAAAGAGGGACAGCAAGGGCTCCAGGGGTGGACAAGCCAGCTTTCTTCTGCTGCTGTTTATAGACCTTGTCCATGGCCACCCAGAACATGGCACCTCAGACATGCGAGAGAGACAGGATGCTTTGGGCAGTGATCACAAGCTATTAATATGGGCCAGATGTGGGGGTGGAGAGACAGCTCAGTGGTTAAGAGCACTAGATGATCTTCCTGGTTCAATTTCTAGCACCCATATGGCAGCTCACAACTGTCTGTAAATCCAGTTCCAGGGTGTGGCACCCTCACACACACACATACATACAGGCAAAACATCAATATAAAAATAAATAAGTCATTAAAAAACTTTAAACAAGCCGGGCGGTGGTGGCACACGCCTTTAATCCCAGCACTTGGGAGGCAGAGGCAGGCGGATTTCTGAGTTCGAGTTCGAGGCTAGCCTGGTCTACAGAGTGAATTCCAGGACAGCCAGGTCTACACAGAGAAACCCTGTCTTGAAAAAACAAAACAACAACAAAAAAAACCACTTTAAACAAACAAAAAGAAAAAGAAAGAAAAAGAAGGATAAGAAAGAAATATGGGCCAAGTGCTCCCAGATGCAGTTTCCTTATTAAATTCTCTGCCAAGGGAAGATAGAAGTATTAACATCATCCCCATTTTGCAGGTAAGAAAACGATGCCCCAGAGAAGTTAAACATTTGTCAGATAACACACAGCAAGTACGTGATGGAGGTGGAGTTCAGCCCTGGAATGTCTGTCCTCATGACTAAGGCTCTGTGTGCTGTTGTACAGCCAATGAAGGGCCATGATTTAAGACTGAAAGGGTGAACAGGGAGGCTGAACAGACCGGCTTCTCTAAGATTCCAAGTGTTAGAGCAGCCGTTTTCAATACTGCATCAGTGCTCCATCCTGGGCAAGAAGCTACAATGGAAAGGCTTGTTCTGAGAGGGCTCAGACTGACATCGGTAAATAGCCAATTATAGGAGAAAGGACTCAGAGTCCTTAGAAATCCGGGCACATGTAGACACTAGAACTTCATTACAGGTGAGAATGAGCAGTTAACAACCGCATGAGTCACACAAGCAGAAATCAGATCGAGCTACAAGCTAGTATAGTGCTACCCCAGAAGCGAAAGGATAGTTTCAGGGCCTGCTATGTAGCCCAGGCTGACCCTGAACTCAAGTTCAAGCAATCCTCCTGCTTTGGCCTCACCAGACTTTTTTTCTTTTAATTTTATTGGTCAAGTGTTGTGTCTATACTGTCAGAATTTATCACTCCCCCACCCTCTTACTGAGGACAGAACTCAGGGTCTTATACATGGAAACAAAGAGTCAACAACTGAGCTATGGCCTAAACCCAGAATTCACTTGTGTGTCGTTTGGTGTATATAGTATGCTTCAATAGAATATACTAAAACAGAAAAAGGGCCACAGTGAACATAACACTGGGGTGTGAACACAGCTCTTATAGAAGGAGCACACATGCTTTTCACCTCACTGACTTTACCTACAACCTTGGCTTTTGGTGACACGTGGGAGGTGGTGACATGAGAGTGAACTTCCATGTTCTAGAAGGAGTTGGCTTGGGGATGAGGGTGCTGGGAGAGCCAGGGTTAGCTCTGTCTGTGCCCTTTGC